AGGGAAGGGGAGAGGGGACGCGGCCGGCTATCTGAGGCCTCCCGCGGCAACCGCCATCGAGGGGGAACCCATGTCACAGCGACAGGAACCGCGTCGCTGCGGCCCGGCCCCCTCCCGGCGGCCACCGCCTCCTGTCCCGCCACCGCCCACTTGGCCTCCCAGCAAGCACCGCACCGCGCCACCGCCCCCGGACTCGCGTCACTTCCAGCAGCGGTCAGCGGGGCGGGCACGTAAATAATAAATAAATAAATAAACGAGCGGCTAACACTGCTGTGGTGATACCTACCCCCCCCCCCCCCCGGCTAAGGTTAGATGGTGGTTTAACTGCGCAGTTGCCATCTTAAGTGCTGGCAAGTCGCTTACACCGCGGTAGGGTGTCCATCTTGGACGAGGGGTGAGGTGATGTCGTGGGGGACGCCGCGGCCGCCATGTTGATCTTGGGAGGAAGAGGGTAGCGCCGGGTTTGCGGTGTTTTCCGTGCCCTGGCGTAGACAATATGAGGTGTTTTCTTTTTTTTTTTTTTTTTTTTTTTTTCCCCCCCCCCCCCCCGGGGGTGTCCTGTGGGCTGCGCCAGGTGAAGCCCTGCGCTAAGGGCTGACCGCACTCGGTGCCAGGGATCCTGTCAGGGATCCCGTGATGGGGGCCGGGGCCGTTTGCCCGCAGAGAGGCGCCGAAAACAGGTGGTGACATAAAACCCCATCCGAACTAGAAACGGGGAATCTGGAGCGAATCCTTGCTCGCAGCTGGCCGGCGGTGCGGGGAGGTGGCGGGAAGAGAGCTGGCGGAAGGGCTGCGCTTCGCGGGCGGGAGCGGCGGTCTGGTACCGGCAGCACCGGGGGGGTGAGGACCCCAGCGTAGCTTCTCCGCCGCGAACACGATCGTGGTTATACCCGCGCTATGGGAAGGTTTAATTTCCAAGTCTTGAGGGTGTCCTGGTTTCAGCTGGGATGTAGTTAACTGTCTTCCTAGTAGCTGGTACAGTGCTATGTTTTGAGTTCAGTATGAGAAGAATGTTGATAACACTGATGTTTTCAGTTGTTGCTCAGTAGTGTTTAGACTATAGTCCAGGATTTTTCAGCTTCTCATGCCCAGCCAGGGCACCTGACCCAAACTGGCCAACAGTGTATTCCATACCATGTGACGTCCCATCTAGTTTAGGAACTGGGAAGTGGGGGGGCAGGGATTCGCCGCTCGGGGACTGGCTGGGTGTCGGTCGGCGGGTGGTGAGCAATTGCCCTGCGCATCATTTGTACGTTCCAATCCTTTTATTACTACTGTTGTCATTTTATTAGTGTTATCATTACCATTATTAGTTTCTTCTTTTCTGTTCTATTAAACCTTTCTTATCTCAACCCAGGAGTTTTACTTCTTTTCCTGATTTTCTCCCCCATCCCACTGGATGGGGGGGGAGTGAGTGAGCAGCTGCGTGGTGCTTAGTGTGCTTAGTTGCTGGCTGGGGTTAAACCACGACAGAGGGTTAGGCTAATACTTCTGCATAGGAAATTGTTTATTGCAAAGTTTCACCCCTTTGAACTTGGGGGGGGGGGGGAGGGGTCTGATCTTATATGTATGATCCTGCAGCCCTGTTTCCAAACCCACCTCTGGAACAGGCTGCCATACCACTATTCCACCTTTTATGTCTCGTTGTGACCACAGGGTAGGTTCCTTCAGCTTCAGCGTTGCAAACCACTTAGTCCAGCTGGAGTCTCTGAGGGCCTGTCTGCATCGCGCTCAAACGTTGGCTCATAAGCAACAGGGTCTGCTGGAGTTACCATTTTCAAAGAGTAGCTTGGTACAAATTTGTTTCTAGAAAAAGAGATTCATATGTGCCTGTGCTTCATGGGGGAGGTGTGTACAGAGGCTAGTTGTAAGTGCAACACCAGTCAAGTCATGCTTTAGTTGAACTGGCTTGTTGGTTGTGCAAATTCTGTAAAAAGGACTAGAAAGACTGGCAAAAAGGCATACAGAGAAATACTCTATTTTAAAAATAATTTTAATATTTTTTAATATATTTTATTTGCCTTTTTTTTCCCAAGGCGCACAAATAGGCAATGGTTTGACCTCATAGGTGAAAGAACGTTTGTAGCAAAAGCACTAAATGAAGTCATGAGAAATAACAACACATGTATGCTCCTGTTTTTCAAGTATTTTGATTTTTTTTTGTTGTTGTTTTCTAATACCTGTTTACACTCCACCAGTGAATATTGTCAGAACTACCAGCACATTAGGTCTTTAAAAATGCGTAACATGGGTTTAAATAATGTGCAAAGCCTGCCATTCATCCTTTGACAGTAGTGAACTGAATGTACAGCAGTTACAACATGCTGGCAAATTACAATAATAAAATAGTGATCAAAGTGTAATATTAAAGCTTTGTTCCTACAGAGGCTTAAGCAGATACTTAAACACACAGTAGTTTGGCTGAGGAAGGCTTAAAACAAGGCTATTTGTAGAACTTTTAATGTTTGAGATAGGTTTGTGGAATAAAAATACCTCAAATGCATTTAAGAGTAATTATAATTAACCTGCTAATTTAATAAGCAATATAAGGCCTTTGTGAAGCATGGAGAAATTATATTATATTGTTAAGACAATGTTTCTGTTACCTTAGGAATCCTGTTACAGTAGCTGAAGATACATCATAGGTGACTATTAATGAGGCTCTATGAGTATTACATTTCGCCACCTGGTGGCTGTTTTCTTTTTTTCAGCTTAGTACCAGAAACCCAGTGGAAAGCTTGTGCTGACCTGTTAGGACAGAAGGAGAAGTGGTGAGGGAACTGGAAGGTAGGGCAACTAGCAGTCAAAGATCTTTGACCTTCACCCAGTGTACAACAATGTGTTTTACAAATCATAAGGGTGCAGAGAAAAATCTGTAAAAGCAGTGAAATACTTTGTTGTAAAGCAACAGACAAACTAGATCGTATCTGGCGGTAGTCATTAAGTTCCAGGGGCCCAAAATATACCTCAGTGTGTGGTGCTAGTCCATAAAGAATCGTTTACCATTCTAGCTGTGTTAGTTGATGGTCATTGGCCATGAGTGTTAATCATCCTTATGGCAACATTGTAAATAATATAATTGGAGAAGGTAGTTTAATAATTATCTTCTCTTACATAGCTGATGTATCGATGATTTGGATGAGCATACAGAATAAACACACTGCCTGTAAACTCCCCAGACAGCAACCTGAGCCCTAGCACCCTAAAAAAAAAAAAGTTAAGCCCTTCTGTCAAAAAGACGAAAGCCACAAGCACAACACTGTACCACAGGAAAGGAGCCAGAAAGATCGACAGTGTCAGTAATTAGGTCCTAGAATAAAAGGAAATTTGTTAAGTAAAATTCCCAGATTATTTGAGGAAGTGACTCATATCCTAAGCTACAAAGAAAGGCAGAAAATCCCCCCAAATGGTCCCTGCCAGTTTGACCAGGGGGAAGTTTCCTTCTCTTTCTTGGTAGTATTCAGTAGTTTCTAGGACCAGAAGCTTTAATCCGTATGCAGTTGTGAGTCTGTAAAAGTCATTTAACTTGAATGCAGGATCAGACAAGAGGTAAGCGTTCCACATAAAAAAATGCAGGTGATGTCAGTCATTCACACTATGCCTAAGTGAACAAAATATGTGGGATTTCTTTAGTCATTCCTGTGTAAGCTTTGCTGGTTGAAGGAGCTTACATTTGCGTACGAAGGCAGACTAACTCTATAATAGCATTAGCCATATTATGTATTAGTTCTGTGAAATGGAATCCATGGGTTACAACACTAATATCAAGGTTGTAATTTCAACATATGAAAGTTTCCTTTACAGAATTGCATGGATTGTAAACACTGTATGTTATTTGGAGATTATTCTAGAGTGGTGTTATATCCATTTTCAAACATACGGTGTTTTTTTGTTTTTAAGCGTATACTTCCAATCAATTTCTTTTCTTCTAGTATGGTGAAGAAACGTTGTAATTTTGAGATATCCATCTCAATGTGAAGCCCCTCTGCATAGTACAATAGAGGTTTTAAGCAGGACTGGTCTTGGTAACTCCAAGGTCTGGCCTTGACTTCTTAGCTGCAGCAAAGCAGCTTTATCAGTCACTGCTGCTGAGTCCTAAACTGTCAGGAGAGGGCGCAGCCTTCCTAGAAGTCTCAAATGGAAAAAGGTATCGTGGTGTGTAAAGATGATTCAGAAAGGCTGTCTCCCAAAAAACTGCATGGTCTGGAGGCCCAGACACTCCTGGTTTGGGGGTTGAGGGTGGCAGGGAGAACTTATTACGGTCTACAGCCATGTCCTTCATAAAACTTAGTCATTCATAATTCTCAAGAAAATTGAGTATTTATAGGAAAACAGTTTAGCTTTTTATTTCTCATTTTGGAGTTTACAGCGTGGTTCCTGAATGTAACTTTTAGTGATACTAAAGCCGTACCGTATATTGTGTAGTGTAATGCAGAGTATCTTCTGAAAGATGTTGGATTGCTAGCAGTGAATAGTGCAGTTCTTTTTTCTTTTTTTTTCTTTTTATTTAAATTTAAAAAATACGTACAGTACAACATGGCTTCTGGGACTGCAAGCTTTTTGTGGCTTCCCCACTCAGTGTATGGGGAAGAAACTTGCTCTAATCAAAGACTAGATAAATCTTCAAACTTCAGGCAGTTTGCTTCCCTCTCTGCTGTGTCTGGCAATGCTGCTGATCAGAAAGAAACTAGATAGTCAGTTTCCTGAGAAATTACCATGCTTGATTTTTCTTTCTTTTTTCTTTTTAATTCACAATTGAATCAGACATTTGAAGATTTGAAATTACCTGTAGAATGAATTTAAAATGGTCTTTGGACGTACCAGATCATTTCATTTCACCAATGCCAAAGGCTTTCATCTCTGCTATTGTCAGAGCAATGCTAACTAATTTAAATTTTTCTGTGGAAATGAAATATAAAAAAAATCAAGCAAATTGAAAACAGGAAATCAAGCCATTGCAGTTTATCTT